CCAACTCCTGAGCTCAGGCCATCCACCTGCCTCACCTCCCAGAGTGTGTGCCTCACATCACAGGTGTGAGCCGCCTCGCCTGGCTATGCAGCAGGTAGAAACTGCAACTAAATGAGAATTTTCCTCTTGGAGATTCAACATTCAGCATTTCAAATATTGGTCATTTGTGTGATCAGGACAGAAGGATGACAAGGCTGTTCTAGAGGGGGAATGAAAAGAACAGTATGTAACTGAGTTTGGCTTTGCGCTTTGGAAGCACTTCTGTGGGCCAGACACATGTTTTGTCATTGTAGCAACAAAAGAGCAGAATATGAGGTACGAGCTTTACAGAGCTCTGTTTAGAAAGATGCTAGAAAGACAAAGGCAAAGCCTTTTCTATATACGTGGTAGGTGGTAGGTGGTTAGATTTCTAGTTTCATTAATGTTCTCACAAGAAACTAAACAGCATTTAAAAACAATTCTAAATTAGAGGGGCTGAAAACCAGGCTTGGAACAAGAACAAATATTTAAAACTCTAGAGACTCAAATTGCAATTTTGGCCTAGCAAAATCCCCCTCTCCCAAAGTTCTCTAGGGTCATAAAAATAATCCAACCTAACTCGTGTTATAGGAATCAGAGTCCTACGAAGGCAGGACTATGGATGTCCTGTTTACTACTATGTCCCCAGCATCTCACACAATGTCTGGTACATGGTAGGTGTTCAATAAAAATGTGTCGTAGGGATGAAATCCCAAAATTATTAAAACCAAAAGTTCTAGTTGCAAAGTAAAACCATTAAGCCGAATCTCGACAAGCTGTCATTTCAAAAATCCTGTCAAAGCTGCTTCATAAAAGTGTTGGGTTGATACATCCCATGTCTAGAAAGTTGTAAAACAACTGGACAAGGTCCAGAGCCAAAGCTGACTGGCTCCAGATGACAGGGAGTGACAGCCAGACTTACTGTTTGCATTCCTGTCTCTGCCTTTCGGTGAGCAGTTTCCGTTCTAACAAAATCTTCTCCTTTTTAATGTACTCTGGTATTTAGATGTCTAATGATTTAATATCGTATCACACCAGTCTGGCCTTTGGGGTACGCCTGACTTGCATTTTTCCAATTTACCTTTCCATATATTATACACAAACTGACCAGAAATCATTCCTCCCAACACGAGCCTCTCAGGTAAGAATCGTGGTTTCCTTTCTCTCTCCAGAAACAGCCTTCTCCACAGACTCCATTTAAAACCTGCTCCCCACCCCTGTGTCTTCTGTAAGCTTGTCCAGACCCCGGGTACACCATCGGGCCAGGTCTTCCAGTCCTTCCACTGCTTGCAAAGCAATCATTTATTTATAGGTGTTTGGTGTTTTTGTCTGACATCTGTTTGATGCTGGAGCTCCAGCCTTTGTCTCAATGAATCACGTGTCAGTGCAAGTTGTAATGCAGGCTGCATTTCACACTTTCAGGAAGGGTTGGCCTGTGGTGGAAGTGATCTTAGGCTTTTGAAAAGACCAGCTCTCTCCACCTCACCACATCCCACGAGGAAGCAGGACAATAAGGGGTTGGGGAACCTGGTGCTTATTCAAGGTGTATTTGGATCTGCCCCCCAGGGGCTTGAGCCCAGCTTTCCTCTCTGGAGACCACATTGCCAACTGCTGGAATGTTGCTGCTAGGAAGAACCTGGCTGAAATATTTGTGAGAAATATTTTAAAAGCAAAAGAATAGGAAGTTTTTTGGGGGGGAGGAGGAAGGAATTTACCTATATTTGGTAGTGGGCAGATGATTTTTTTTTAGCGCAATTTGATGGCCATACCCATGTTGGTCTGCATCTACCTAGAGCAGAGGGGATCAGGATTTGTACTGGGTTATAAACCTGGCTGAGATTAGCAAGGCATTAAATCTAGAAGCGCCTTTCATTATTCTGCAAGTGGGGTACTAGTGACTTTACAAGGCCAGTGAAGTTGCTTTGAGAGGCCCAAGACCCACACTATTTTCTTGTAAAAAGTGATTATTCATAGAGTACCCTGTGGAAACTCCTGCCTGCGATCTGAGGACTTGAGGAGCAGAGCAGGGAAGGGGAAAGAAGGGGCAGGTTAAGCCTAAGAAAATGTAGGTGGCAAGAAAATAAGAGTATGGTTGGTGGAAGTAGAGAGGGAAGGCACAATGAAATTATAGAGAAAATCTGATAGAAAATCATGGACTTTTTACTTCACTCTGCTTCGTAAGGTAAGGAAGATGCTAGACAAGGTGGACGTCTGGGAGATTCTTCTTTGTAACTTTTAAGCTCCTTGCCTTGGCTTCACAGAAAGTCACATTATAAAGAGGTTGTTGCAAACAGATGAACCCCCAGGAAGGGAAGCCAGCATTTCCAGATCCAATGAGACAGTGGGTGGAAGAAAAGTTTTTCATTTAAGGTTTTAATTCGAAGAGAATTGGAAAGGGGTGGGGAAATTGATATCCCATCTGAGGCTTCTGCGTCTTACATGGGATCTCTTTATGTTCCTCAATTAGTGAAAGGGAGGTGGGGTTAGGGTGCCAAAACCTGGGCTCATCAGTCACTTCATGCATCTGAGCTGGAAAACATTTAACCCTGAGATGCAAATCATTTAATCATGCTGACTCAGAGGTGACCAAAAGTTGTGAGCCCTTGGGAGCCAGGAATTCCCAACATGATATAGTAATGCATTTCACAGTGTAAACTTCAGATCTCCAGGACCCAGGCTGGGGAAAAGGGAAGGCAAGGACTCTGTATTCTAAAGTTTCTGCCTAACAAAGACAGACCTTCCACTCCAAACACATGAAAATGAGGGATCCCAGGGGGCAACTCCCACTTCCAGTCCCACCACCCCACACATACCTTTTCCTTTCTGTTTGCGCCATTAGGTCAGGAGGTTAATGAAAATGCACTCCAAAGTTAGAATGAGGACGAAGCCAGAGATGAATATTAGATTTCCATTCAAGTCTGAATGTGCAATCTGGACATTAAGAAAATCTCATGTGCTTCAAAATTTTACAGTTTTGTCCACATTTGTTGAGATAGTTCTGAGATGCTTAGGAAGTTGGTAACTGCTAATTGTCTACATTAGAAATGAGGCTAGGAATGCAGGCTGGATCTGGCTTAGCAGTGGCTGAGTTGCAAGCCCCTGTGTGTCAGATACTGTCAGATAACATTGCAATTGGGACCAAACATTATGGACCCTGGAATTATGTGTTGCTTTCTTTCTCTCTCTTTTCCATCCATCTTTTTTCTTTTTCATTTTCTCTTTTATACAGATGGAGTACTCTCAACCTTAAGGGTGGACCTGTGCATGCATACTATTTCCTCTTGAGTCACTTAAAGATATCTACTTATTTCCTAAGAGCATGAATCCATTGAAGAAGCCCGGGCCACTCAAGTTGGTTTTATAGCAAATATTATAAAATGGTGCTGTGAAGGATGACATGAGAATGTCTTGAATCGAGTCACACACTCTGAAGGAACAGCTCCAATGAAAGCAAACTGCTGCTGAAGACAAACCGATTGGAAAAGATGCTTTTCTTTTCTTCAGTGTTTTCACAATGGCTTCAAAGGAAATGCGAATGAATCACTTGTTCTCACCCAAGAGCAGCACAACTCATTTTGGAGACTTAAACAGGCAATACAAATGAAAACAGAAATCTGAGACTCCCAACTGCTGAAGTTGAAAGGATTCAGTCTGGAAACGTCAATTCTACTCAGCATTTATTTTCATTTGAAGATAGTGGAAATCATTTCCCAATCATGGACAATACGAGTTCTTCTTGCCTGGCAAATGTCCACATGATTCCGTTAACCTCTAAGTGTAGATACAGTATTTTTTAATAGAAAGACAGGGCAATATGGCAGTTAATTAGCAACCAATACTGTAAACTATGGTAGATACAAAGTTTTATCATATAAATTAATTGCCATTATAAAAAGGCAACTGCTTTAGCTAAGAAGGTACAAAAACTGGTAATGTCCATAAATATAATAAGAAGCTAAGTGAAGAAATACACAGCAGACTGTTTTTCCTATATAATGTTTGAATATGCAAACTAAGACACCTGTGGCACTTTACACAAAAGTAGGAAGCTGCCACACACACCTGCCCACCCACCTACCCACCCCTGCCCACCCAGGCCCCACCCCTCCCCCACGTGGATTTCCAAAACATGGCAAATTCTAGGGTTACGAGGATAGGATGGCGCACGGAAGGAGCAAGACGGCAAGCTCCGACCTGCTAGACAAAGAAGGAGCCTTCTTGACAGTTGTAAAGCATTAGGCGTCAGACAGAAACTTGTCAAAAACAGCTGTTGTTGGGTACTGATTGATAATGTTTTCATTCTGACGGCTGAGACGCTGCAGACAGTCGTGGGTCTGAGGAGAAGCCCATCACTGGTGCACACATGAACACACACACACAGGCAACGGGAAGTCATTTAACAGATGGCTCAGGAGCACTCAGCCACAGTATCTTAAAATGACAACATTCTACAGTTAATGAATTTGCAGGGAAAGCTAGGCCCGATCATCATAGATTTTTTCATAGAAGATGAGCACAACAGGCCAAATGAAAACAGGAATTGTGTAACTGGTCACTAGAACAAACCTTTTGTGCTGTTCATGGATGATACAGTGTTAGAAATATTCAAGGATGCTGTAGACAAAATTTAGATGAATTACTATGGATCTTTCCTGATCCATGACCTTAGAAAAAAGCTTAAAGAGGTGTTCGATGTTTTACAAGATTAAACCCCCAAAGCTGTATCTGAATGATGATAAGGGTCTGAAGTATATCTTCTGGAGAATTACGAGTTATTAATTACTTCACCCTGCAAGACAGTGTGAGTCTGTGGCATTTGGGTATTAGTCCATGCTACCTAAAAATTACAAACATGTTTTTATCACTCGGGGGGTAGGGAGTAGTTTTCTATTATTTGGCCACTTAGTACTTTAAGTGGTCAAAGGGTGACAAAGAATATTTCATCTATGAACCTCAGAATCCATAGATTTTTTCTTGTTTTAGAAAAGATCAAAGGCAATAAGCCTTAGTAAAACTGTGTATTTAGCTCCAAGTAATTTTATCACTTAAATTAAATGAAAAAAAAAAATTAGTTCCAAAGACTGACTCTGAGGCCTAAAATTATTTGTTGCAGCCCCAGTGCATTTTTTAAGGGCACATTTAAACCCCTGAAAATAGAGGTTTACCATAGAAATACTGATAGACCTTTAACTACTAGAGGAAGGCATTAACAGACTCCCTTGAGCTATATTAGCACTGGATGAACAAATATACACATGATTCTGTCTTTGATAGCTCTGTTCAATGCCAGGTTAAACCCTTAACAGTAGAAACTATGCTTCTTTGAGCTGTTTTACTATTTTAAAAATTATGTTCTCTAATTAAACACTTCCAATTTTTTAGAAAAACATACCTATATTATATTGCAGCTTGACTTTATATAGGCTAATCTTTCCATTAAAAAATATTTGAGGACTTGATCAAGTATAATCAATGATGCATGCCTGGCTGCCTAAATTTCCTCTCATTCCTATCAAAAACTAACACCATGTCTCGAGAGGGGAGTGGGACTTCAGATGTAGTCAAGGAAATATGCATGGTGTCTTTCACCCTCCAAAGTCAGTTTTGCTCTGGCAGGATAGTCCTTTCTGAGAAGGTGATTAAGTGAAGTTTTTGGTGCTCATTTTTCTCTCATAGTCTATAAAGTCAATGTATAAAAGACAAAACAAAATACAACAAAAATAAGATAAAACAAAATAAACCCCCAAGAGATCTTGAAAATGATATACCTATTATGTGGAGTCCTAGTCACAAAATACTCCACTCCCAAACCCACGGAAAATTAGTCAAGGTCTTGTGAGCTTTTCTAAGTCCTTCCTAAGGGACTTGATTTCCGTGAGCCATGATTTCCATCCGTTTTAGCACGGAGTATAGAAGAGACGCTTAGAACAACAGAAGGGAGAGACATGCGGTGAAGATAATTAGTGGTCAACAGAGAATAAATTCTCTCTCAGTAGTGTGTACTTGACGTTAATGCCGAGGATAATTCACCTGATGTACAGAATATTCGCTTTCATAGAGAGATGAGAGTCTGAAATAACTAGAGAAAAATAGATAATTAAGCCATGATAGTCTTAATACCAAAATAAAATTAAGATGAGAAACTAACATGATACGTTCAAGGCCTTTGGGGAGCCCATTTTCTTTGCCAGAATTCACATTCTTATAGCTTCATGGTCTTTCTCTTCTAACAAATTTATCAGCCGAGAGAAGCTGTCTTTCAGTGCGTCCATATCATCCAGTGAGCAGGGATGTAGAATCCAGCGTTTTCCACGTGCAAGAGGTTCAAGTTCGAAATATTTTTTGATCTTAAGGGGGAAAAAGTAAAAAAAAATACACATTATTAATTAGATCAGAATCTTTCTCATACAAACCTTTTGAATGATGAAGTAGGGGGATTTCAAGGAACTTTATATGAATTGTGATGCGTAGGGCTTTCTAGAATCCTGTCTACACCTGTTCTAAAGCGGTTATGTGTTGTGATATAAGAGTGTTGTCTTTAGGGGTGAAAGACCTACTTTCTAAGCCACCACCATTCCACCTACACAATTAACAGCATGGCAGGTTTGACAAAGTCAGAGAAAAAATTATATGTACTATGGCACTGGGCCAAATATACATCAAGAAACCAAAAAGATTCAATTTAATCCAAATAACACTAGAAGAATAACTTTCACTATCTCACCTTGCTGACTTATTAAATTGGTGACAACCTATAGTATACACCATACAAATTATTCAAGACTCAATTATTTTCACCATTAAGCACATAACACAATGAAACATCTAATTTAAATAATATTTTTCTTTCTTTCCCTTAAACCTCTAGTATTTATTTCTGAGACCTGGGAAGGTGGTTTTTATGAAAGAGGATAGAAACTGAGCGTGTCTGTATCACATGCTGTGTACAAACTTACAAACATTTACATATGTATATGAAGCCTTCCAACTTTTCTTCCTCTCAGCCTTCAATTTTCTAGGAGGGATAAATCAAGAGGTATGCAGGGTAGCACATTTGCTATCTTAAAAACCTGTTCAACTGGCTCGGCGCCTGTGGCTTAAGTGGCTAAGGCGCCAGCCACACACACCTAAGGTGGCGGGTTCGAATCCAGCCTGGGCTCACCAAACAACAATAATGGCTGCAACCAAAAAAACAGCCGGGCATTGTGGTGGGCGCCTGTGGTCCCAGCTACTTGGGAGGTGGACGCAAGAGACTTGCTTGAGCCCAGGAGTTGGAGGTTGCTGTGAGCAGTGAAGCCATGGCACTCTACCCAGGGGAACAGCTTGAGGCTCTGTCTCAAAAAAAAAAAACCCTGTTCAACTAATAACCAGTCACAAGTCACTCTTATTAGGCTGGTTTGGATATTGAATAATAGCTAGTATTACCAACACTTAGCTATGAACAAATATCAAATTACTAAGATTTCCAGAAGTATGGATGAGTTTTTCTCAAAAGGTATGATAAAGTAAAAAGTTACACACACTACATCATACTACACCATACAAGAAGAGAATGTTATGTTTATTGCCTGGCAAGATTTTACATAATGTAAAATAAAATATAGTTAGTAGCAACATCAAAAGAAGCATTGTTCAAAGCCATTTTTTGGTTAACCAATTTCATTAAATCCCACATGTCCTGAAAAATTCCAGGCCTTCCCTTAGTCAACACTTGACTCAGAAAAAAAAGTGTCTCGATTTTACATGCCATTCCCAAATGTGGTTTCATTTTGCCTGTATCGCTGTAAGCACCAAACTATTGTTAGCAGCAAAGAGACATCATCCAAACTGGTACTCAGATGTTTGTGTATTTTTTCGTATGAGCAGGAAGACATTAAAAAACATATTTTTATTCATAAGAAATACTAAGTCCTGCTAATTTAGAAACCAGAAATATGCTAACATTTTAAAGTTCAAATGTATCCCCAAAGTCCTCCTATAAATGTCAGCAAATTCATAATAAATAGTAATTTTTAAAAAAGCCCAGTGAGAGGCCAGCCTTGGTGGTTCATGCCTAAAATCCTAGCACTCTGAGAGGCCGAGAAGGGAGGATCCCTTGACTTCAGGAGTTCAGAGACCAGCCTGAGCAAGACTTGGACTCCATCTCTACTAAAAATAGAAAAAAAAAAAAAAAGAAAGAAAAACCCAACTACCCAGAAGTTTAAGGTTGCTGTGAGGTAGGCTGAGGCCATGGCACTTTAGCCTGGGCATCAGAGTGAGACTCTGTCTCAAAACTAACAAATAAACAAAAATCCCTGTGAGAATTGAAGGACCTTCATTAATTCTGATTCTGACGAGTAATGAAAATCTCACTTACAGATCAGAAAATGGGTACACACTTCAGAAAATGATTTTGCCCAAGGTAGTTTACAAATCATGCTGTCAAAAGGATCTTGCTTATTGAAAACACAAACTCCATTCTTTTAATTTCTTTTCTTTAGGGCATGGAAAACGAGAGGATCTGAAATGCTATGAAATGATGAACGCCAGTGATCAACTCTGCCCCATGGTGGGAGGACCTGCCAGTCACAGGGAACCTTTGGCCAGCAGGGGAGAGAGAAGTGGCGGGAGAGACAGGCAGAGAATTAGAGAAGCGGGCTGCTCCAAAGAGCTGGAAATCAGAGATGTGGGTCTCCTTGGCTTCTGTCACAAAGTGTGGCTTGAAATTACATCCCTGAGCACAAAAACTGGGACTGCCATGCTTACGATGAAATCTGCTATTTGCTCAATAATACATCCCATCAAATAAAGCACGTAACATGCAAATCTGGCACAGGAAGGAGGTTGTATCCTTGCCCTTCTGTATAAACCTCAATCCAAAAGGACAGTATTTTAAGTATCACTAATAACTGAGAATGGGATTGGTCACAAGAAATTTGATATTAGTAAAATAAAGAAAAACACCACGACAGTAAATGCATCTCACTAACAATACTTCTTCCAAGTGGTTCATTTAAAAATCACACAGAAATTCTGAGGTTTATCTTATAGGGGTACAGGTGAATCTTTCTAAGAGTAGAATGTGAGCGTTTTAAAACAATAACTGAGAAAATGACACGAAGGCTGTGTTGACCAGTTTGATGGAAGTATTTCAGATTGCATGTGAAAACCCCACACTGTACCCCAGAAGTGCATTAATGTACATAGTTACCATTCAATAAAAAAAGAAAAAAAAGTTGATAAAGGAAATAAAAAAATAAATAAATAAAAATTACACAGAATTAACCCTGGTAGCATATTTCCATCTAATTTGAGAACAATGTTTGATCTAAATAATCACAAGGTCTATTAACAATTTGTGATAGATTGCAGTACCGACCAGACACAAAACACTGAGGTGTAGCTACCCATTGGGTTGGTTTCTAGGTAATGGAAAACAGTCTATCATGGAGGCACACTTGGGAGAGGATACCGAGGTCTGAAGGCAGATGTGCTTCCGAAGTCGTTCCTGCTGAGCGGTGAACCTGAGAAGGAAATGGAAGCCGCAGTGACAGGGTGGTCACCAGATGAAGGAGCCTGCTGGTGTTAAGCTGATAAGGATGGCTGGGCCACTTGAGATTTTCAGATCCGTAACCTAAATGGGTATCTAAACCCTGCCGTATTCACCCCACTGGTATCTCGAAGATTCCATAGGACACTATAATACCAATTTTACAACAAGTTTTGCCATTCCCCTAATATTCAAGCACAGGGAGTGACCGCTTGCTGCTGGAACACAGCTTTTCATGTTTCTAAAAATGACCACTGCAGGGCAGAGGGGGGAGGGTGAAGACCAGGTTTGCCTTCTGACTTTTTTCGGACAATTTTCTTTTGTTTTCTTGTATTAACCTGAACTTCAAAACTTTACTTCCCCTGCATTATTATAGTAACAATCGCAGCCACATCTCACCTGTCTGCTATGATTGCTTTTTTGTCCTTGTATATGTTGATGTATAATTTTAAAGAGTGGTGTTTTAAGTTTGGCCAACGTAAGTCAAGCGCTGATATTGTTTTTAAGGTTAAAAAAAAAAATCCCTGCTTGTGATCTAAAGATCTATTTTTTTTCTGATGGACATAAATACTTTAAAGGTAATATTCTTATAAAGATGAAAATGTTTTAAATGACTTAAGAGAAAATGAACCCAAGTCTTTTGGCTGCTTTATACAGGTTGCATAAATATCACGGTGAAATGGAAACTTTTAGAATGAGGAACCGAGGATTGTTCCACACTGGCTTTTGGAGACCACACTTTGGGGAATGACATCAGAATACAGCTGCCTGGCAACCTGTGGTCATTCGTCTATTTTCAGGATAGCCACAGAGAGTGGGCATTTGTTAGTAGCCAAGTGTCCACCCTAGAGATAGGAAAACAAAGCTCCCACCGGCAGCCGACCTATTTTAGCTCTGTCACCAGAGCCCTCCTCCGCTCCTGGCACTGCCGGGCAGTGTGCATCACCGCATTCCAGTGTTCACACATCGCATTTACTGTAAAGCCCTAATGCAACAGGACGACGGCACCATCTCGTTGCTGCTGATGCTGTCGCAGCTGTCAAACCGTGAGACCTTCCTTAGCACCAGAGACCATGACTGTGCGGGAGCTGTCTGGTAATGTCTCCTTGCGTGGTGAAGTCATCCAACAGTCCCTCCCTTGTTCCAGGATCTCTGGTAGGATAATAAGGGTAATAATGATGTTCACTGATTTCCCTGTCTTGCCCTCACTTTGGATATAAAATTTTTACTTTTAATTCTCACCAACCTGGTGCGACTAAATTTCTAGCTGCTGTAGTTTGTAAACTGCAACAGTAAGGTCTTTCCTTCTTAAAACTTATAAACCTCATTTTATTTAAAGTGATAAGCTGCTTGTTTTTCCTATTTTTGTTCCTAAACCATGAAAGTTGTGCGTACCCAGTGTGACCAGGTTTTCCTGTATGCACTCTAGGGAGCAGGGGATGAGAACAGTCCAGAAAGGGTTTACTTGGTGTTTTGATGTGAAATAGAGTCAGGTTCTAGGCTCAGGTATTTATAAACAGAGCTTTGCCCCACATGCATGTGTGGTGAAACATTAAAAAAGAGGGTGTGTGATAGTTCTTTATAGGGTGGGACTTGGCTATGAATCACGACTGTAGCACCCCTAGTTCTAATGCACTCAATGCCACTGTCACGACCAGTCATTGCTAAAACTGAAAATGCCTGTCCCTTCCCAGGTCAACACATGCCCTGGCGTTCCTGCCCATGTTAAATGCGGGTACCTCTTGCCCCCGTCTGGGGCCATTTGCTTATTTTCTTCTACACATTCACCAGTGGGGATGGAAGCTGGATGTCAGCTTT